CCCCCCTCCGCCGCTTCCCGTGCCGCAGGGTCAGGATGGCGCCGCTGGAGACAAGGGTGACAGCGGGGACCCGGGGCTGCCGGTGAGTGGGACAACGGGGGGATCCGGGGCTCCGGGGTGGAATTCTGCCCCTCCATGTCCCCCTTTGGGGACATTCCCCCCATAGCGGCTGATTCCAGGCTCGTTTCAGGGCCCCCCTGGTGCTGGGGGAGAGCCGGGACCGCCGGGACCCCCTGGACGGAGGGTGAGTGGGGAAAGGGGGGACAAGCGGGGGGGCTGCTCCGGATGCAGCTCAGCCCCCCCCACTCCTTTTCCCTTTTCCATCTCCTTTTCCAGGGACCAGTGGGGCTGGCCGGGCGCGAGGGCCGACAGGGAGAGAAGGGAGCCAAGGTAAAGCGGCGTTCCCAGCGGGAAGCAGCACCCGGAGTGGGAACTGAGGCCTCCGGGATGCTCCAGGATGTCCTGGGGCTCCGGGATTTCCCAACGCTCCAGGATTTCCCGGCTCTCCGTGTCGCCTCCCCAGGGCCAGCCCGGCACGGAGGGGCCACCCGGGAAGACGGGTCCCACGGGGGCCCAGGGCCCCCCGGGGCGGCCGGGCTCCGAAGGGCTCCGTGGGATTCCCGGTCCGGCTGTGAGTGCAGGGAAGGACTGGGTGGTGCATCCCAGCGAGATGTTTGGGTTGGGATTGCTGCATTACTGCCTGGGATTGCTGCATCCTGGCTGGGATTGCTGTATCCGGACTGGGATTGCTGCTCCCCAGTTGGGATTGTTGCATTACTGTCTGGGATTGCTGCTCCCCAGCTGGGATTGTTGCTTTACGTTCTGGGATTGCTGCATCCTGGCTGGGATTGCTGTATCCTGGCTGGGATCACTGCATTCGGGCTGGGATTCCTGCATCCACACTGGAATTGTTGCGTTACTGTCTGGGATTGATGCATCCCAGCTGGGATTGCTGTGTCTGGACTGGGATTGCTACATCCTGGCTGGGATTGCTGCATCTGGACTGGGATTGTGGCATCCTGGCTGGGATTGCTGCATTACTGTCTGGGATCACTGCATCCTGGCTGGGATTGCTGCATCCAGACTGGGATTGCTGCATTCTGGCTGGGATCGCTGCACTCCAGCTGGGATTGCTGCATCCTGACTGGGATCACTGCATCCTGGCTGGGATTGCTGCTCCCCAGCTGGGATTGCGGCATCCTGGCTGGGATTGCTGCTTCCTAGCTGGGATTGCTGCATCTGGACTGGGATTGTGGCATCCTGGCTGGGATGGCGGCTCCCCAGCTGGGATTGCGGCATCCTGGCTGGGATTGCTGCTTCCTAGCTGGGATTGCTGCATCTGGACTGGGATTGTGGCATCCTGGCTGGGATGGCTGCATCCAGACTGGGATTGCTGCACTCCAGCTGGGACTGCTGCATCCTGGCTGGGATCACTGCATCCCAGTGTGCGCTCGCTGCATCCCGCTTGGAGCGGGGCTCAGTGTCCCTCTCCCGCACTGCGTCTCCCACAGGGTGAGCAGGGTCTGCTGGGACCCCCAGGACAAGCGGGACCCCCCGGCCCCCTGGTAAGTGACGGGGGCAGCCGCGGGGGCCCCGGCGTCCGGGCCGTGCTCCGTGCACGGCCTGGCACCGTCGGCATCTCCCGCAGGGTCCCGTGGGATTGCCCGGCCTCAAGGGAGACCCCGGGAACAAGGGAGACAAGGTGAGTGTGGGAATGTGACGGGGGGTCGCGGTGACCCCCACCCATTCCCAGTGCTGGGCAGGGGCCTCCTGACATTCCCGGTGTTCCCAGGGCCACGCTGGACTGATTGGACTCATTGGACCGCCAGGAGAGATGGGGGAGAAGGGAGACCGGGGGCTCCCGGGTGCCCAGGGCCCCCCCGGACCCAAGGGAGACCCCGTGAGTAGATGGGGGGCTCATCCCAATGCCGGGAATGTGGCAGGAGGATGAGGCTGATGCTGCCGCTCCGCAGGGGGATCCGCTGGTCCCACTGGGCCCCCAGGTCACGCTGGGCTCTCAGTGAGTATCCGTCTGGTGCGCCACATCCAACGGGATCCAGGGAATCCCTGGAATGCTGGGGGTGGGGGCAGTTCCCACCTCCCAACTCTCTCTCCACAGGGACCCCTGGGCCAGAAGGGCTCCAAAGGCTCTCCGGTGAGTGCCGGGATGCAGGCGGTGGGAGCATCCCGTAGGGAAGAGCTAGGGATCAGCGGGATCGGCCTCGCCGGCCACCCGCCCATTCCAGTTGCTTGCAGGGCGCGCTGGGTCCCAGAGGAGACACCGGCCCCCCCGGCCCCCCGGGACCCCCGGTGAGTAGGGACGGATTTGGGAACAGCTCCGGCCGCTCCGGCCGCTGCATCCCCCCCGG